AAGAGTGGGCTTTAAATCCCCGGTTGCCGGGGTTCCCAGCTCAGCTGTCATTTACTGTGACTTTGAGCCACTGCCTGCCTGTTCACCCGTGGGTCACATAAAGATAAACACCTATGGAAGGATTACTGTGATAACTAAATGTGTCGTGCTTTGAAAGTCCCTTACAGTGTGCCTGGCACCCTAAAACTTGCATAGTTATCAGCTATCACACTAAGACACGCATGGGCATACAGCGACCCAGAATGCAAAAATCTCACAAATCAAAACAAAGCTTTTTTTTTTTTTTTTAGAATGTAAATTGCTTTGGACTTTCAGTCTATTCTGAGCTGCTCACAGACCTCTAGAAATTCCTATACCCCACTCTCTGCTCTTGGGGGGCAGACTTTCTACCACTTCTCTATCTCTTCCAGTCCTAATTCACCCTGAGTTGTTCTTTTATCTCTTGTGCATCTGTCCAGACAGAAGCTTTAGAGGTCAGGGAACCATGTCATGCCTTTCCTTCCAGCGCCCAGAGGACTAAAGCAGAGGTAGCACATTTGTGTGCAGGGTGTCCACGTCTGAGTGGACTGAAGGAAAGCACTGGAGCTTGTGGACAGCAACTGAGGAGTGCCTGGAGGCTCGGTGTTCTGATGAGTTGCCCTCATCACCACTGGAAAGTTGGTCTGGCCAAGACGGTGAAAGGAGCAAGTGGGCTTGCTGAAAGCATTTCTCTGACTGGTCAGCATCATTTTCCAGCACTGAGCACAAAGTGTCTCGTGAATACAGAAACAGAAACTTCCACAACCTGACAGCCAATCAGTTTACCACATGCAATGGAGTGTACAGACAACCATTTGTACAGAATACAAAGAGAAGGGACGATGGCGGGGTGACACCAAGCTAGGTCACTGTGCCACTCCTCTGCGAGGCCTGTCATGACCTCATTCACCTCCAGATCCTCACTCACTATTAGACAGCATGGACAAAATCCAAAGGCCATTTCTACTGAATGTCTCTACTCCTTCTCAGAAGTCTCGTTTTCCCTACTCCAAGTTCAACCTTTTGTTACACGTCTATTTCCTCTTTACAAGCACTTCCTTGAGTAGGTCATTATTTCCCGATGCTCTGCCCACCCCCAAAGCATTTCATTTCCTGGTAGAGTCACCCTGATTCCAGCCCTGACTGGGAGTTCATTGTGCAGGTAAGCAAAGGCATGAAGTTCCATACACCTAGCACTGCCCTCTCAAGGGAGCAAGCAGCCGGAAAAGCCCTGTAGCCAGCCCGGAACTCTTAACTGCCAGCATTTCCCCTCCAGGCCCTCACCACCCACAGGGCTCCACAGCTCCTTCAGATAAAGATACCAAGCGCCTGCACCCAACCACTGCACTCGCCGTGAACACAGCCCCTTTGCCCGGCCTTCCCAGGTGGCAAAGTCCCAAAACTCTGTGCAGGCTGTCAGCACAGGCCTGGGTAGAGGCAGGGCCTGGCGCTAACTCTCCGTGTTTAGTCTAGAGACCACACAGCTGTTCAGGGGCTCCTCACAGCCCCGCTAAATCGCCAGCTCTGCTTATACAATGTGTCTGGCAGAAAGCACCCACGGGGGTCATGCTCAGGGAGATGGCTGGCATGGCAGAGCCCGACCAAACACGGGCGACCCTGAGGCTCTCAGGATCTCAATATCATCATTTGAAAAATGGGGCAGAACCATCACCCCGTGACATAGGATTAATTGATCAATGAGTGTGGGTGTGCCTGGCAGAGTCCCCAGACAAGAGACTCAGAACCCTGTCAAATGATTGCATCATACCAGCCAGGGGCCTGACTCCACCGTGCTTCAGACATGAGCTACATGTCGCTGTTCAGATCAGTGGTCACTAGATATTTGTGCAATAAATAAATAACAAAGCACGTGAAAGAAGGAGCTGACCCCTGTTTTGTGATAGGGGTCTCCCCGGTCTTCTGTGGCCTCACTCATTGAGTTACAAAAAGCAGTTCCTTCTAGTTTACGCAGAAACTGAGGCATGGGAGCATTAAACAACTGTGGCAGCCTGTGGGTAATCAAGCTCCCACTGAGGCTTCTGGCAGGCACAGGCCTGGCCCCGGC